TGCAACCAGCGCTGCCCAGCATTGGTTCGGAAATACATGGTCTGCAAAGGCAAATGCAGGTGCAGCGGACAGTGTGAGAGCTGAAGATTCGAATTGTGTGGACCGGTTTGGTGTGTTGGCCTTCGTACCACATGGTATGAATGCATCTAGACGAGAACAACAGCGAGCATGCAACCTTTAATCGCCTACACAAAGAGACATTAGGTACATGTGTTGCTGGGGGGTGCTGCTCCTTGCCCACTGATATTTGCTTAGACTATTTGCAGAGCATGGTAGCAAACACTGGTGCGTAGGGAGCAAGATTCCCAACCGCACAGCTGTGCGTCGCACCTCAGCACAGTAGCTGAAATGATATGCTTTTTGTTTTTTTGAGTTTGTGTATGGATATGCTAAACATGAAGCAGCTTTGCTATAACCTGTAAAGCAAGCACATCGTCAGGTAAAAAGGCCATGGCACTATCTGGAAGCCCAGACAAATGAGCAGCAGTCATGCTTGTCGGCCAATCCCAAGCCATCCTATACTCCAGATGCTGCGTCGTTCACTTAGCGGTTGCAAAGGTGTGCCTGTTGACCCTGACTGCATTGTTGAACTACGGATTGCCAGCTGGTAGCCAATACTCACAACATGGGCAATGCAATGGGAAGCTTTGTATGTCGTCGTCAGTCTAGGCGAAGCTCCCCTGCTGAGTGCATTGCTTTGTGCCAGGGACACCCGAGTTTATGGCGCCAGAGCTGTACAGGGAAAAATACAACGAGAAGGTTGACATATATTCCTTTGGAATGTGCCTACTGGAGCTGGTGACAATGGAGTTCCCCTACAGGGAATGCAAGAACAAGGCACAGATCTTCCGTCAAGTCACTCTGGTGCGTGGGTTGTATATCCGCTGAATAGGAGCCACAAGAGAAAGGGGGGGGGAAAACTGGAAATGGTGAATGGTATCAAATGGTGCACTTTTCTCAAAGTGCATCCAAGACGTCCACGTCAGGTGTCTTTCTGGAACAGGTCTCAGCATCTTTTGCCACAGTACAAGTCACGATGCAGCCTAATCTTCCAGCTGCACCGATCGCCAGCGAAACGGGCCAGCTGCCAAGATGCGTGTTCCAATCTCAGCGGCGGCTGCAGCGCCTCCACACTTGTTTCTGCGGTATGCACCCTCGATTTGCCCCTGAACCAGGTTGTCCCGCGCCCATCCCCGCAGGGTGTGTACCCGGCGGCCCTGCAGAGGATCGAGGACGCCGAGACGCGCAGCTTCATCGAGCTGTGCATCGACCACTACCACGAGCGCCGTCCCGCGGCGCGGCAGCTCATCAAGCACTCCTTCTTCGACGACGTGCGGCCGGAGCGGCCCGGCAGCCGGGCCGCCACCCTGGGCAGCCTGTCCGACAGCTCCTGCAGGGACAGTGTGGAGGACGCGGGCATGTTCGCGACCGGAGGGTCCCGTCCCTTGAGGCCCGATGTGGCGCCCCGGCCCCCAAGCGCCCCCGGCGTCCTCAGCGCCAAGAGCGGTGCCTCAAAGTTCAACCGGCAGCCCAGCGCGCCAGCTCCCCTGCACAGGGGGGCTAGCTCATCGTCGGATCCTGATGGCCCAATGGTGAGGCACCCCAGCGCGCCCGTGCCGCTGGAGCGCACCTTCAGCGTGCAGGCGCGGGGCGCCCAGGGCTCCGCGCTGGACTTCGAGCTGTGCATGATGCAGAACGAGGGCGGGGACTTCCGACGGTTCAAGTTCACGTTCGATGTGGAGCAGGACACCGTGGGCGCCGTGGCGGAGGAGTTCATGGAGGAGTTCGGCCTCACGCCCACGGAGACGGACCGCTTCATGGACCTGTTGAAGAACGAGCTGGAGGCGGTTCCGCCCAGGGAGAGGTTCGTGCCCGTCGGGGGCGACGCGCAGGGCAGGGCGGGCCTGCAGGTCAGGCTGCGTCCGGGCGAGGGGAAGAGCAAGGGCACCGAGGAGAGGGGGCACAAGGACGGGGTGCGGAGGAAACCCACCCGGAAGTTTACGCCCAAGTCGCCCCTGAGATCGCCTCAGGGGGGCCGGTCGCCGCACAGCTTCAGGAGCCCGAGGGTGTTGGCGGACGATCGGCTTCCCAGGAGCCCTTACGTCCCCGTGGATCCGGACGGGACGGAGGTGCACTCCCCGGCCAGGGGCCCCCAGGAGGCGGGCGGGGACCAGGTGGTGCTGATGCGCATGAGCGGGCGGGGACGGGGGACGCCCAGCGACCGCAGCCCCTCGCCGCGCGTGCTGGGCGGCTCGCCCTTCGACGGGCTGGAGGGGATGAAGGACCACCGGCCCAGCAGAGAGGGGCCAGAGGGGCGTGACTTCGCCGTCAAGGCCTACCGCGGGGACCAGGAGCGCCGGCCCAAGCCAAGTGCCCGGCGGCCCGGCCGGGTGGTCAGCCCGGAGCCCGACGACTTTGACGACCCGCACAGCGGGTTCAGGTCCGACCTGCACAGTGGGTTCAGGTCCGACCCCCAGGCGTCCCAGGCGCCTCCCCGCGCGGTCAGCCCGGATTTTCAGCCCCAGCCGGGGACGCACGAGTGGGGGTGGCAGCAGGAGGGTGCGCCGAGAACGGGGCAGAGTCCGATGCGCGGCGGGCAGTCGCCAGAGCCGCACTGGGCGTCGGCGAACAAGCCGTACGAGCCGCAGGAGAGGGCGCCTGCCGCGACAGCAAGTCCCGCCCCCCGCGTCCCGAGCCCCGCACCTTATCAGAGGCAGGAGTACGGCCACCGGGCAGCCGCCGGCAGGCCGCCGCAGGGCGGGGCCGGGGCGGGGCCATTGCAGGGATTCGGGTCGCAGGGGTTCGGGTCACAAGGGATTGGGCCGCGCGCCTCCACGCCGGCGCAGCAGGGGGGACAGGGGCAGAAGTGGACGGAGCCGGGCTTCCACATGCCGGCGTGCACGCCGTTTCCCATGGCTGTGAAGAAGTGAGTGGTGGGCCTGGGGATGAGGGCGTGTTGTGTGGTGCCGTTGTTTCGCCTCTTTCCCAGCCGATTCGCTTTGGAGCGGTTGGGGTGGATGGCCGTCCGCTGGCTGTTCTCAAAGCAGGCAATCCATGTTGTGTGGCGTCGCTGACTGCTTGCTCGCACCTCACTTGCAACTGTTGTTTAGTCAGCCATACGGCACAATCGCGAATCCAGTTTTCTTTTTCAGAAAGCGTTTTAGAGAACGTTTCTAACCAACATGAATGGCGCTCCAGTTGTAGACTTTGGCTGTTTGGCGCAGGTCCAAAAAGCTCTGCACAATGCCGCCAGCCCTGATGGTTGGATGCCATTCTCTCGCTTTTGGGAACGTCCGTGCACTGTTGGCAACTTGAGGCTGTCCTCATGTGTTTCTGTAATGCTTTGAGTAAAAATATTTTGACCTCTTGCAGCATTTGGTTCTAACAGTGTGAGAACTGCACCAGTTGTCGCACTGGCAGATTGTAGTTTGTAAGATAGAAAGTCCAAACAGTCCAAACAGTTTTGAAGGCCATTGTTGTGCATTCCTGTCGCTGCTGAAGCAATCAGAGTTGCGTTCCATTCTCCCATCCGGGCTGACGTACCTTCTTTGTTGCGCTCGCAGGATCCGGACGCTATTCGGGAAGGGCTCTTAGGACCGCCGCGGCCCTGGCAGAGCGAGGCACTGGGCACCGGCGCTCTTGGGCAGGCCTACAGCCGGCGTGCTTCAGACGGGACGGTGGGCGCGACTGACCATCAATGGCGCACGGATTGTCTCCTCCCACGGCTCCGCGGGCGGGGTCCGATCAGCGATGTGCATCGGACTGCCGCGGTGCCCGCGATCTGCGCGATGGGAGGCTGGAGAAGATCAAGAGGGAGAATGTCCGAGGGGTAGTCGAACTGTTGGGTGAACTGTGGTCGAGCTTTAGTTGACTGAGGGGCGGTGGACTGTACCCTGGGTAGGCGTAGCGTCAGGGTCGTCGTTCGCGACGCCGGGCCGAGTTTGACGAGTTTGAAGAGCGGCATCGAGCTCTTCATGTGTCCAACTCGACCGGCGGGCGATGTTGCAGGAGTCGTGGCGCGAAAGGGAGTGGGCACCCTCCCGCCGGCGCTGCCCCGGCGATGTCCGTCCAGCGACGCGTGGCACGCGGACGGGGCATTCTGTCCGCCCGCCGGGGGACGAGACTCCGTGAAATCGTTCCCCCATCCATCGGGTGTGATCGTGATCAGCAGGGGGCCGGCCGCTCGCGGTCACATTCCGTCCAGTTTTGTCGCGGGCGGCCTCTGTCCGGCGCCACGCGCATTTGCTGGGGCGCTTCCTTGTGGGCTGGATCAGAAAACGGACCTGGTGTAATAATGGCCCGCGTCGTCGTTTCGTCTGACTGGCGATCGGCCGAGTGGGGCTTGGGAAGCAACGCGTTCAGTGGCCAGGCGGTCGCTTGGCGTCGGAAGTTGCGCGCCAGGCGGTGGGCTCCTGCCATTGGCTGGCTCTGGAACGGGCTGATCCCCTGGCGAGGAGCGGCTTCCGAGAATGCAGTGGATTTGGTGCGCGTTTGGGCGGGTAGGCTCAGTGCGAGTTCTTTGTTGCGTTCCTTCCTTTGTTCTGGGGGAGGAAATGGCCGCAGATTCTTCTTTAAATGAGGCGATGGATGATCCGTGCTCGCGAGGATGGATCGCCGTTGTTGGCGGCTTGCCCGAGTCGTGCCCCGAGGCCTTGCCCCCGACTGAGCTTGCTGGATATTCGCAACTGGGACACTTTCCCCATTGCACCCCGCAACGCTCGAAGGCGCCACAAATATAAACGCTGCCGCGCTCGGCTGAATCCAATCTTGGGTGGCAGTGTCTGAGACGACGACATCCAATAATGGGACATTGTTGAGGACACAGATAAATTTGAATGTCCCGATGTCATTATCTGAGAGACTGCCATGCACTTCCAGACGTCCGACCATGTGGTGGAAGCTCCGCCGAGAAAAAGATGGCACCCCACACCTACTTCCTTGTTTAAATGCATTTTCTCGAAGGGAAGGCGGGTGATGCGACTCAAACCGCTCCTTTTGAGTGCACGCGGGAAGCGTGGACACATCACACACTGGACGCCGGCCCAACGGCGCTCATACGCAGCCTTCCACAGCGGTTCCCATGCAAAAGTCGGGCTTACATATTTGCACGTCCGGTTCCAAATCCAAACACGACTTCCCTTGCTGACAGTGGCGCCAACCATGATCAACTTTCTTCCTGTCTCACAGTCACCCGTCCACCTATTCGACCACCGAGGATTGTCATCTATCACAAGCGCTCATGAACTGCATAAAACTCATGTTGTCCCCAACAAACATGAGTGTGATCGAAAACTACCTCAAGAAACAAATTAGGTCAAGCGATTCCAGAATTCAATCAAAGAAGTGGCTTTAAGAGATTTTCGTGAACATGTCTTTTTTCTTCTTGCCACAAACCGATAATCTTCAAGCAATTGAGTCCACATAGGCTGGGAAGCTGCCGGCTCAATGCTGCACCAGGTATAGTGACATCATGGCATGAATGACCATTGAATGTTCCATAGCAAATGCTTTTCCACAGCAGAGTTTTTTGGGGTTATCTCCAGCAGCGAATCACATTTTGAAATGCATACTAGCCATCAAACATAAGTGATCTACACAGTGAAAGGGTGGTCATTATGCGGCTAAGCGAACAATTTGTCCCATGACAAATTGAAAGCCCTTGCACCAAATTGGCGATGCCGGGCAATGGTCCCAAGCACATGTTTCGTTCGAACTCTCGCCCACCACACCAACGGCAGCAAATTAAAGATGTCAGCGTCAGCGCTGGCGGTTTATGTGGGTCAATCTCCGTCCGACAACAGCTGCGCTATGTGCTTCCTCACAGTGTTCAGCGAAGTGCTCGCAGCGCCAATGTAGATTCCACCGCCGCTTCCAACATCTTGACCTGTCACTCTCGTGCATTTAGAACTAGATTTGGATATTCCTGGCTGTGCCAAGATGAACAAATATTTCCGCCTGGACGGGCTACTTGTCCCACCCAGGTCCACATACACACTGGAACAGTACATTACAAAGACCACACTGTTTGTCCCAATACACCCCGAGGTACCCACAACTTGTGTGTGCCCAGTCGCTTCGCTAGTAGTTAAGCCAGTCTCATACGTGACTCGACCATGAGTCCGTCCCACAACTCCTCGTTTCCTCGTACTTAACTCCCACACTTTCCCCAATTCAACCGAACATCGCCCTAATAGGGAGGGCCGGGCGGGAAGCGAAACAGGATGGAGTGGGGACCGAGGGGTGAACCTAAGTAGCCTCTCCCACTCGTGCCCGCCAAAGACCGCCACTCCCAAGGGCGCCAAAAACCACTGGCCCTCCTTGAACGCGACGAACTGGCCACTGACCCAAGGTACAGGGGGACAGAAACCCCAAGGGGCCGCCAAAACCAACGTACTTAAGCAGCGCTGGCCCAAGTGGGGCCAGCGCGCCCACCCCTCGTCGCCCTGGGCGGAAACCTATTAACAAGATAGTTAATCCCATTTCCGATCCACCAGCGTGGATGGAATGATGCCCTTTCAGGACCATTGATCAATTGTGAATCCGCCGGTGATCCTCAACCTCCGGAGTCAGAGTTCCATCAAGGTGAATCTAGGGCAGTGTTCCCAGCAGCAAAATTGAATGAAGGCTAAATTATGATCTAGCAATGTTAGTGGCAACTTATTGAACAGTGTGAATTGGAGTATGAAACACTGTAAATTGGAGTATCAAATCGGAGTATTATTGACAGCGAAAGTGCAGTGGAAGCCGCAAGGATGCGTCATTCACTGCGGGATCAAGATAGCACAAGTGCGCAAGCAAGGGGATCCATCAAACTGCAGAGTCAAACTCCAGGTCCAAAACTGCCAACAGAGGCCAAGGTCGGCAAAACGACTACCAAAGCTGGAGTTTACACACAGTCCGTAGTGTCCAGCAGAACCCTGCTCAGACTTCCGTTTCGCAACAGAGGCTCACACGGAGCTCAACCAGTCGTTACGCCTCAAAGGCATGCAGTAAACGCGCAGCGCTCACCAGCAGACCTCACCGGCTCCTCGAATACCCAGCCGCGGCAACGTTTATGGCCAGAACTGGCAGAAAACACCATCTGGCGATGCCTGCTGCGAGGCCACTTTGGCACCAGGTCGCGTCATCGCAGCGATTGCGATGGCGTCAATTAGTGTCAAGTGGCATCGCAGTTGGTACCGCCAAAACGGTGTTTATCTACTGGTGCAGTCTGCCGATATTATGGGAAGAATCTGCTGCAGATTCTTCTCCTTGACGCAGCGCGGATGCTCAGCCGAAGGATGCACCCATCGACCAGCGAGCCCAGAGCGACAGTCCCCATCGATTGTGCGGCGCCGTCCAGTGCAGCAATATCGATAGTATCGCCGCGATTCATACGGGAATATTGGCCCTGAAGAGCAACAGATTTAAGGTCAACTGTCAATTGCTCAGACCAGCATGTAATACATGGGAATTCAACAAAAAAAAGGGTCAATTGTGCCCTGGCAGGCCCTCATCAGTTGAGACTGTTGGAGACGAAGGCTGCGCCCGACTTGCACAGGTTTTCCATGCTCTTGGTGAGCATGGAAATCTGAATACAGTCATTTCTATAGCGCTTTCCTGGAACGTTCCTCTTTCGTTAGTGAGGTCGTCAATTGTCTGGTCGCCTCGTCTAGTCCAAACGGGACACTGTCAGGTCATGGATGTACGGGCAACGCTGCACACAGGTGCGACCTGCGAGCTGCGACTGTTGCTCGTTATCAGGACTTCCACCTGCGCAGCCATGCAGCATTGTGCGCCGTCCTTAAGTGTCCTTAACTTCTGGGGGTATCAGCACATGGACTGGCGTTCAGGATGGGTCCGAGCATACCATGCTGTCCAGCGCCAGGCGCACAAGAATCAAATCAATGCCTCGCCCTAGCCAACGCTCTCGCAGCGCGAGCGAACCGGAGAGATTTCTATACAGCTCTGCCCATCCTAGGGAGAGGGGGTTCGAATCTTTGTGTTGTCATTGAAGAAAGTAGAGTAGAAAAAATGGTATAAACTGTCGACTGTACCCTCTCTTGCAATCCACTTGCGGTCCAGCTCGCCCATCCTCTTAGTCTGCCACACCCTTCTCGGCAAAAATGTGTTCATCTATGTGCATCTCTTCCAAACAACATCCGATCAAAATCGGGTACGTCCTTTTGCGTCGCCACAAGATCATTTCGCCCCCGTGTCCGCCGCGCACCCCAATGGTGCTGCACCCCCGGAATGTGAAAACTTTCGGTCCAAAGTCTCCCATTCCTTTTCCCCTTCCGCCTCATGAACCCGTTTCTTATTTTCCGTTATTGACCCTCATTTTCATCCACTTTCCTTTTCCCCTTTCGCTTCCGGGGACAGCCCCTCGCCAGCGAAACAGGATCAGTCCTCACAGCTCCCATGCAGACACCTGAAGATCCGAATCTCGGATACTGGAATCCCGTGGGTTCGAATCTCGCTCGCCCGTTAAGGCGGCGCCTCACCAGATATACGCCGCCCAAGTGACCGCCCCCATGAACGTGGCGCCACTCAACAGGTTGCCCAGCGTAACGGGTATCATGTTACGCCACAGTAACTGCCCCACGTTGACGTCAGCGCCGTACATCATGCCGTTGGGTATGAAGAACATGTTCGCGATGCTGTGCTCGTAGCCGATGGCCACGAAGGCCGTGATGGGGAACCACAGGCTGATGTACTTGCCGGCCACGTCCTCCGCGGTGGTGGCGCTGAAGACCGCAAGGTTGACGAGATAGTTGCAGCCGACGCCGCGCAGGAAGACCTGAGGAAGATCGTGAAATTCAATGGCGGCGGCGTTTGGGATCGATCGAAAAATGGGTGGTGGCTTGAAAAGGTGGCATGAGCACAAACAATGCATATTGGTGTCATTTTGTGCATTCTTGCATGGCAGCAATTCCAGCGCCGGCGCCATCGATGTACTACTAGATTTCGCAATTTGGCACTATTTTGTTGGGCACAAACTTTGACTCCAAAAGACGGATGAGGACCCAAAGGAACAACACTGCCCCTTAATTCAGTTAGTGATCGCGCTTGTTAATTCAAGCTTCAGAATGCGTTCGAGATACATACAAACTTTGGCCAAGAGCCCCAGCACCCCGCCACAGCTCTACGGATGGACGTCCATCTGCAAGTCCCCAAAGTTCCTGAGCGAATCGCTTCATACCAGCAACAAAGCACAGATGCATCCGCCTCCGCCCTTAGGACCGGTGGACAGGGCCGAACATGGCCTGGTTCGTCCAGCCGGCAGCGGGCGACAAAAAGCTCACAGGACTCGTAAGTTCGCTTCAACGGCTACTTTGAAGATGGACCGTCTATCCGCAAATCAGCAGATGGATGCGAACAGAACAGAATTTTCACGAAATGTACAAACTGTACGGTGAAAATATAGCGTACGGGTGCAATGTACACCTGCAAATACGTGCACACGTGCATGAGTGCATTTAGAAACGTACGGTAGTTCCAGGGATCGTCTGTCCATCCGCGAAGGCGCAGAGACTCACATTATGTCCCTGAAAGGGCCGCAAAGTCTTTAGGAGCAGTTTCATGCCATTTGAGCACATGACGCGCGACCGACGCACAACAAGCTAGTCATTGAATCGCGAACCAGAACTGACCCAGCTCTGTATCGCTCAGCCGCCTTTCATGCTCAAGCAAAGGCCTCCACCAATCTGCCCGATGTTGCGCACCTCTCCCCATCCCATGTTGACCTTCTTCTCCGCCAGAGACCGCACGAATTCGTGATACGGGTCGTCGTCGAAGATGCCCGGCAGGCGGCTTAGGAAGTACGCGGCCAGAAGCGACCCTGCGAAGTTGCCCAGCCAGGACAGTACCCAGTTCGTCGCCACCTGCAGCGGTGTGTTTAATCGCAGCCGCTTTCAGCAGTTGTGGCAAAAGCACTTGCGTCTGTCAACGAAACGATTTTCAGTGCTTTGTTGATTGAACGTGACATGCACTTGACTAAATTTGCCACTAGTGTTGCCCAATTGCGCACAAAGTACTGGGCCAAGTTCCCCAGATCGTGCTGCCGAAGAATATGCAAGCCAAGGCATTGCCTGGGCGTCGAACTTATCTTCATTCTGCCCTGTTTTACAAAACAACCAGTTGTTTTATTGTTTCACCTTGTGCCCAGCCTATTCTCAATCCAAAATCCGTGGAAATCACTGAAAATATTCCTGTCACGGCTGCATGCACAAAGCCAGGTGTCCCCTTCGACGGCGCGTGCCATGCTATCTTTCAATGTGCGTCGATTCACTCTTTCAAAAGTGTAAAGTAGACTCTATACTGGTCACGACAAAAAAACAACACGCAAATAAAGGACATAAAATTCACTGCAGTGCCCTCTTTCAAAAAGAACAAACATTCGTCTGCATATTTGGAAATGCCCAATTGCAATGTGTTGCTGCTCGAGGGAGCCGCGCGACACGACTGACACCTGGGGGAATATCACGTTGGGTAATATCGCAACACAGTACATGCACATGCATGAGCATACTCAGCCAATCAACGCAAGTCACTGGCGCATCAATAGTGCAATTCACTAACCATGCCCGGACTGCACGTCAGCGTCGTAACGGTTTTCTAGAAGCCGCAAGCTCTTTGGTAGTTGGTTTCGGGTGTCAGGGTGCCTCAGCCACCATAGAACTGACGATCATCAGCAAGGAGCTCCGTGCACCGAGACAGTGCGCCAGCGCTATGTGTTTTGTTCCAAAATGTTGCACACCTTCAATACCGTGCACTTCTCTGGAATCAAACAGGAACAAACGGGCTGTGGCATCTGGCTCGCTGTGGCTTGAGGGTGCTCTGACTACTGGAGAGGACGCAAAGCCACCGCGGCGACCACAGCACGAGTTGTGCGCAAAGGCACATTATACCAATACAAATATCGTACCAGTCCAGAAGCCGGGCCTTCGGCCCGACGTTTTGCACCTTTTCGCTCCCGCTTTATCCAATAAAAGCCCACTCACTGGTGGGCTGGGCTGCGCAGCTACTGTTCTTCGTTCGACGACAAACTGTTCTTTGATTGCTGTGTCCATTGCCATCGTCGCTGCTCCCACGGCTGCGCAGGACCGCCGCGAGAGTTTGCACCCTCTATGCGACCGGGGAAGCCCATCCGCGGATCCCGTTTCCACCCGCACGTTTGGATCACAAAACCGCCGCTGCGGCCGGATTGGCTAATCGACGCACGGAGCCCGGATCACATTCGACAACCTCGGCTTGTGATTGTCACACCCCGCTCGCTGCGGTCGCGATGGCGGGGGTTTGCACCCCACCCCGTGCTCGCGCTCAAGCACGCCCATCCGCCCTGGCGGGACCCACGCCTCCGATCTCCGCAATAGCCCCATCAACTCACTCCTGGGCCCGGGGGCCTCAACGCCTCGCCTTGAGGTGGGCGGTGACTGCCTCGCGTGCAGCCATCGCCGTGCCGATGGCTGTCACGGAGGAGAACGTTCAGGGAACAGAGCAGCTGCCCGCCCCGGCGGGAGCCTTCGCGTGGGGCTTGCAACTTTGATCGTTGAGTTTTGGAACCGAGTCATCGCCGCTGCGGCCATCGGTGCTGGCGATGGCCGTCAGGGCCGCCGCGACACCTGCAGTCACCGCACAGCACCCGACTCGGGTAGGAAATAATAGTACTGCCTGCACCAATCGGTGACTGCTTGCACCAAATCAAGTGCGCACCATGCCCTAACCTCAGTTTTAGGTTTAATTTTAGTTTTAGGGTTAGGGTTAGGGTTCGGGTTCGGGCAGGCTTAGGTTTAGGTTTTTGGGTTTAGGCTTTAGTTCAGGCAAGTTTTGGAGGGAGTTGGTGCAAGCAGTCACCGATTCAGCGCAGAAAGTCACCGATTTGGTGCAGCCAGTAATTGTATGCCCTCCAAAAGTACCCCTCCTCACGTAACCCTACGTCACGGGGTCGGTTCTCACATGGCAGTGCTGACTCGGGTTCTAAAAAATTTATTTCCGGGGACCTCCCCGTCGGCTTGCGAGCTCATAACATTAAAACCATTGCACAGCAACACATGACGTCACATGTCATTGAAATTATTTATTATATTATTTATTATTATTTATTACTTATTAAATTATTTATTATTAATTTTTATTCACAACACATGTCGACAGCCCACCTGCCGCCAGTTGATCTTGCGCCCCATGCACGTCGCGGCCATGACCATGGTGTTGCTGGTGAAAAGCTCCCCGCCGTACAGAAGTATCATGGCCAGGCCGAAGGGGAACACCGCCCCAAACAGGAGCCTCCCCAGACCCGGGTTGTCCCTGTTCACCCCGGGGATCCCCCCCGCCACCACGCTGGACAGCAGGCCGCCGAAGGACAGGTAAACTCCGGCCAGCACCGCCAGGCCGAAGGTCCTCACGAGCGAATACTCCCCCTTCTTGCTCCCCATCGCCGTGATCGCCCCCGCCACCTCCTTCGGCGTCTTAAACAGCTTCATGTGGAAGGGCTTTCGCTCCCCGCCCCTCCTGCGCCTCAGGCTGTCGCCGTAGCTGAACCTCTCACCCAGAGACGACCCTTGGGCGAGGGCATCCCAGCCCGCGCCGCCGCCCTTCCCGTTGTGCCTTTCGTCGACTCGCCCTTCGCCGATTCTTCCTTCGTCGGCTCGTCCCTTGTTGAATTGCCCTTCGTCGAGTTTTGATCCGTCGGCAGGTGCGTGGCCGCGGCTCCGATCCAGACGCCCCGCCGCGGGAGGGGGGGCCTCGATGTCGACGTGGCCGCCCCGGCCGTCGCCCTGCGCGAGGGGCGGCGGGCCGGGGTCTTGTCGGAGGGCCATGGCGAGTGTGGGCCCCCCACGTGAGGGGGGTCTGGGGGGTGGGGGGCGGGAGGGGTGGCTGTGGCGTTCGTGCGCGTTCTTCGCTGTGGGCGCGGTGGGCGCGCGAGCCTTTGGGGCCTGCTGGGGACGTGCGGTGCCTTTCAATGGCTGAGTCGGCGGCTGCGTGGCAAGGACGGGGGGGGAGGGGGGGGGAAGAAAAAATGTTGTCGAATTTTTTTATTCCCTGTTTGTTCTTTCTTACGATTTTGTTCCTGTTCTGCTGCGGGGGGAAATCGCACGTTTTTGGGCCCGGTTGATCGCCCGATTGGCGCGATGGGGGGGAATCGTCACCGTCACCATTGACAAGTCTTACATGACGTGGTTTGGCAAAGGCAGTGAAATGAGGAATTGTGTGCGTATGCGAGCGCGTGCCAGTCGGCGGGCCCAACTGTCACGACTGCTGCTGGGTGAAGGTACGGATTTTCTGCAACGAGCATCTGTACGTTGCTTTTGCGGCAGGAAGCAAACACCACCACTCCCCAATCAGGTCGGGCGGCCAAGAAGGGCCTGGATTTCGGGACGGGGAGGCTGTGGGCTGCGCCGCCGTCTGCCCCCTGGTGGTGGGCTGCGCCCGGATGCAGAGAAGCACATGTGGCTTGCATGTTTATGTCCTGCACGGCACGTTTGACGCGCTTGGTGCGCTTTGCTCGGGGAAAGTAGAAAGCTGACGACAACCTCCTTGCACTGGTTTGCACAAGCATTGTGATTGTAGTAATGACGGCTACCTCATTGCCTTGTTCTGTAAAATATCATGATTATGATGATGATTGACGGGTTGTTCGAGCGTTCGTCAGCCGCGCTCGCACGGTCGCTCCCAGGCACGGGAAGCAAGCCGCAACCAGATGATGTTACAAGACAAGTGTACCAATCAAATACTGTACAAGGAAATGTCCATTCTTAGTAAATCACCATGTTCACCATATTCACCATATTTCTGCCACCATGTTCACCATGTGTGTCCAATACCACATTCACCATGTTATTCCTCACATTCACCATGTGTGTCCAACACCACATTCACCATGTTATTCCTCACAATGATGATGATTGTAATAATGATAGGAGCAACGCGCGCATGGCATGCTATGTGTGGCGGGTGCTTTGAGAAGCTTCAGTGCCACCAATTCGTGCATACCTGGTCTGATCACAGACACGCCGCTGGCAGAGGCACGGCACCAGTGGACCCAGCGCGCTGGTATTGGTGTCGGTCAGTCGGCGGCAGGGCGCCGAAAACCGCAAGCGGCTGACCACGTCAACGCCAGGTGGCCGGATTGCGGAAAGGGGTCAGCAATTTGACAAGGTCCAGTCTGTGAAATTGTACATGACGGGGGCATTCCCTGCCTCGATGAAACAAGTTCTCCGAGATAAGCAGTGCGGCGCAATTGTGAAATGGCTGTATGATAGCACGAGCTAAACACCATTGCTGTACTTCACCGGCGTCAACAGTTCTGGGACATGTCGTTGCTGCAAATGCGAAAGTGCGATGCCACGACATGGCACGTTTCCGAAAACGAAAACACAATGGCAGTTGTTGCCCACACGCATACCTAAGACAGGCGATGCATCTCTCGTGCGCATTCCTAAGGATGCATATGCAATGCAGTGTCAGTTAAGCATTGAGTTTCAAAAAGCACACCCTGGGAAGTGTAGGAGGGCCTCTATCAGTATTCATGTTGTCTCAGTCTAAAATCGTCGACCACAGCTTCAAGCTGGGAACGGCAACAAAAGCGCACGATCATTGAAAAGCATTGAAGCTGGTGTTCAGGTTCTGAGTTTGCACTTTCACGAGACAAATGGCAACAGTTTCGATTCCTGACAAACGCGATTTCAACACCCTTGCAAACCAATGGCGAAAAGTCGGCACTCAAGAGTATTTATTCTGACAGGGCTTCCCCAAAGGCTAACTCGCTAGCAGAAAAAGGACCAAATCACGCTTTTGGCGAGCACATATATACGCATTTCATCAATGTTCTGGATGCTGAAAACACGGAAATAAGCCAAACCCGTAAACTTTATACACGTTTGAACACGTGTTATTTGGCACATTTTTCCTAGTGACTTTGACGGATTCACATCAAAGGAAAATGCCACAATTAGCCAAATGTAGAAAGTCTTTGCGCCGTGCACAACAAGCCTGATGTTTGTGGTACCACAAGCGCACAGCCCTCCCGGTGGCATCTATAATCCGTCCATGGAGGCCAAGCAGTCACCATGAGGGAACCAATGACTCCTTGAAGCGCTCTCAGAAACCACACCGCACACCAGCGCCCGCGATCGCAATGCCCATGTGCTTGGGCACATGTTCTAAGGTACCACCACAACATCAAGATGTCCTGCAGCGGCTGTCCCAGTCTACGCAAAACAAGCCTTTTGCACAATAGCGCACAAGGATGGCCATGCTTGGCCTTTACGTTCACTTGTACGCTTGTACGTTCAAGCTTTTACGCGGAAAATTGTAGATTTGCAAATGGGGCTACTTTCGCTGCTGTATTGCACATTTTTATAGCTCGTCATGACATCCAGGTCACATGATGAAGTCGCAAAACATGGTCAGTCCTCCGCCTCTTTGGCCAACCACAACACATCTTCCACCTCGACCTGGACAATGGAAAAGACATGGTCGAACAAAAGATCATTTTCTGCCCACTCCAGGACACCAAACTGCCACTCCTTGGACTCCCTAAGTCTGCATGTACTGTCTTTATGTACATTGAGTCATAATTTACGCATTTTATGCACATTTACGCGCAAAAACGCAATTAATTTTTTTCGTGTAAATACGTGGAAGTACTCAGTATTTAAAGCAGAAAAAAACAAGCGTGAAGATGGCAATGCCTATGCCTCTGTGGCATTATGTGCAAATGGCAGCTATGTCAATGTGGCACCTTTCGCACACCACTTTTCTCATAACCAAATTGGGGTACGTAGTACACACCCTCTGGGCCCTTCCCTCCGCTACCTCTGCACAGGTACATCTACAAAGCGGCCCCGATTGGCTTCACATGGTTGTACGCCATCGTCATCGATGATATCCGTATCGACAAAGATTAAGATATCTTGCCATAGATTCAGTGATGATATCTGGCCGTGCTATGTATCTGTTAGATACAGGGGACAGTATCCGGCCATCCGGGAACCTGATGCTGACCGCGATGCTGATGAGTCGAATTTTGCTCTTGCCGAACGCCATCACCACCATCAGCTCGACGCCGCCGACGTTCTGCAGGGAGTGGACGTACCCCAGGAGAACAGCCCAGCGTGTCCCGCGGACACAGCAGCAGAAGCGCCTGGATCATCATCGATCCACGGCAATCCATGTGCGCTTGCTGTCATGTCTGCGGTGCAGCCGGGTTGCACTCCGGCGCTCTGGAGCACCGGCAAGCCACAGTTGCAGTTCGAGGCTGTGCTGCGTTGATTTCGTGGAAATTGTTCATCAAACGCAAACCGCGTTTTGAAACGCCGTGGAAGCGTGCAGTATTGCAAGTTGCACAAAATCAAACTAATGAGTTCTTCGGCTTCAGAGGTGCATTGGCGTTCATTGTTGCATGAATCCTTAAATATTTGATGCTGATTTCAACCGCGATTGGCGACCTCACGGCGAAACGGTTCCATTAATCAGAGCTGTGCAGTCTCGCTTTGTGCCCTGGCCACAGAATCAAATTATCGGTGCCAAAGCTGGGCCAATTTTCTGTGCCAAATTCTTCCCACCCAATGATTTTTTGGCATCATTTTCACCTGTGCATGGATCTGGATGTATTGGAATGAACAATCAACATGTTGCGATGCACACCGCAATGGCATCGCCAATACGTTGAATTCATGCCAACTGAGCGCGTACCAAACCGAGAACAAAATTAACCAAGAAAGTGGGCTCAAACGTGCATTCTCCCTCCCTGAGCTTCTGCATTTTTGACGCAGCATGCATGTTGTGCCAAATGCGCATATTACAATAAATAAACATATCCTTTTCACAACCATATGGCTGTGAAGACATGCGTACATTTGGCCTTTGTATTTCAATAAAATACGTAGCGGAATTTACAAAATTGGCATTATTGGTTACAATAAATATGTGACGAATGGTCTACCGATGAGCGACCAAGGACCTGAACGTCAACGACATCCACTGCCAGGCTTGGGCACGCCACGTAGCGACCTGACCGTGCCACAGATTCGCACTCGGAATCGCGACGATACAGCGCCCCGCCAAAGCGCGGGGAACATGGCCACGCGGGTCGCCGTGCCCCCCACGGCGCTTTTCGACGCGGCGGGAGCGGAGTGGACGGGGGGCGGCCCTGCAACCAGTACTTCGCCCAGTACTTCGCGCTCCCGCGAGCCAGTACTGCGCAAAGTACCGCGGGGCGCGCGTCGCGCCCCCCCGCGCCCCGCGCAGTGGGGCGAGCACATAAGGCCGCCGCGGGCGCCCCGTCGGCCCCCGACGCGACCGGGAGGGTGGGGTCAAAAACTCGGCGCCCCTCCCCTGAGAGGCGCGGACCGAACTTCTTGGCGGGAAACCCGCACAGCCGCCAGAAACTCGCCCCGGTTTGAATTTTTGAACGCCGTACCGGAGTTCAGGCCTCCGGACCCACCCGAATTCGGCCCCCGGGGCGAACTCCGGCGGAGCTGGCGCAGGTGGGCGGGCGCTCAACTGGCGGCTGGTGGCCGGCGCTGAGGCAGTTGGCTGGACGGAGGCGCCGCCCGCCGCAGAGAGAGAGCGCCCAGACGGAGATGGTCGCGCACGTCTTCGACGGGCCGCGGTCGGCGATGAGCATGCCAGTCGACAGGGGAGGGCCGGAGCCAAGGGAGTGGTGGAAGCGGCGGTCGGGGCCGCCCGCGCGCGTGAGGAGCGCCGCGGAGCTGAAGTGGGAAGCGCTGGAGAGGTCGTGGGACTGCGCTTGGCAAGGTGGGAGAGGAAGATGATGGCACCGGAGTGCGCATCTGTGCCGCATGCTCGTTTGTTGATGTCGGGGGATTTTGATGGGGGGGGCGGCTCCACGCGGGCGGCAGTCTTTCGGGGTGTTGGGTGTTTGTGGCGGGAGCCCAGGGTTCGCGAGCCCCCGGCTGTACTGTCGCGTTCAGCGGGGGCCGTGTTGCGGCGGTTTGGGTTGGAATGTTCCACGAACGGCAAAGGCCAAGTGGCTGGTCGCCCATCTTGGCCATGGCATGCGCCCCGGCTTCCACCCCTTTCGTTCTTGCCCACGTCGACTTCTGCGAGTCGCAGTTCGGCGAGCGCGGCCGCGCGCTGGCCGCGGTCTGCGGTTCATCCCGGCGGCGCTTTCGCGTGCGTTGACTGTGCCCCGTCTCCTCCGCGCACCGGCCGAATCAAGGCCTTCCGCAAACACCCTGCAGGCTGCTAAGCTTTTCCGGACTGGCCAAACTTCCCCCCTGCCATGTCCGCGCCCACGCGTCCGTAGATTGCCGGCCTCTAGACTTACAGGGTTGCCGACGCACCGACGGCGTGATGGCGCTTCGCCCCGCTGCCTTCTTTGTTTTCCCGCTCTGCAACCCCACCGACGGGCCGGCAATGCCTGCGTGCCCCCAGTCAGTTTTTTCGCGCCTCCATGAAGGATTGCCGTATCGTCGGCTCGCCCTCCGCCCACTCGTCCGGCCCCGAAAGAGCAGAAGGGCCCGGCTCGCGCCAACCCCAGCTGGCCGCGGTCCCCAGCTTGCTCGCGCGGCAACACGGCGGCGTCCCCGTCAGACACCCGCGCTCCTGGCGCGCTGATCTCGACAGTCATCTTGGCGGGGCACAATTCCGACATCCGTTGGTGGAAACTTCCGATCTCTCACTGTCGCTCTTGGCGCCAAATCCGCCCCAAAGGACCCTCCTTGTCTGCCACCGCGAGGGCGGCCCCCGACGCAGTCTTTGGCCCGACAGGGGAGAAGGCGCGGCACAGCTCACCGTTCAGGACCCACGGTGGATTAGAAATGGTGTTGGATGCCCAGCCTCAGTGACGGAACGGGAATCCTATAACGTAAGTCACGTCACGGTACTCCCGTTCCGGGATCCCATCCTTACTGCAGGTATTTGACCTGCGGTGGTATGCAACCACCCGTTTCACACACCCATACCGTTCTGTGCGCAAGTCACGTCGTTCCCCTCGAATAACGTATCGACAATGCACGCCGAAAATTCCAAAGGAAGCCAAACCGTTCAAGAGCCACGCACAATTCAGTCAGCAGCTGCCATCAATGTGTAAATGCCACAGCCATGACATTGCGAATTGCATTCATAATTCGGCCAGAAAAAGCGGCTCAACTGTGCCAGCAACATCAACTGTGCACCCACGCATCAATGCACATGCTCATTTTCTTCACTCTTCATTTATTCGATTTTGTTACTTTTCCATTTTCCATTTTTTCTGTGCAACACTGCTGACGCCACTCCTTGCTCGAACAGGCGTGGTCGCAGGCTCCGGCGGGGCCCACGCCACGGACGACGCCGAGAGCTGCTGCTCTGGGCACTGCCGCAGCGACGACGGCAGCGTGGCCTACAGCGTGGCCTCCACGATGGCCTGGTCCGTGGCCTCCACGGCCTCCGCCTCCTCCAAGCGCATCATGAACAAGCTGGTGTCGTGGATACGGGAGAAGCAGGACGCAAGGAGGGGCATCGTGTACACGAAGACCGGGCCCTGCAACCTCTTCGAGGACCTGCCCATCCCACCGTACCCCGAAGACTACGACTGGTGCATGCACTAGGGCCCGCTGATGCGATACGATGTTGCGGATGCGGCCGTGGTGAGTCGTCACCGTGTGGGATGTGTGCCGACTGCTATCTCTTGGTGTTGGCCTTTCGGACGCGCTTGGGCGGCAAATTGCCCTAAAATCTTGAAGCGTTTTTTGCCATCTGAAATGGTCGTCGCCGCCAGGTTCTTTCCGAGCTGGCACCGAAAAAATGAAACTTGGAATGTCGACACCGTTTTAGGCTCGCCAGGGCAGTGGGTATCCTGGAGGGCGGTTTGGTGTGCTGTGGAAGTATTGCTAAACTTCACCTGGCCGCGACAACGCGGACACCGTGTTACATTTCTTTTGGTGGACAAGGGGAAGAATCCGAGCGAAATATAGACGGAACTTGTAATATCAGGGCGCCGGTTGCATGCGGAGGAAGCTCAGAGGGGCCGCTCATGCGCGCGGGAGGTGGCGAGCTTATCCTAGCCCGATGTGCCAGACCTGATAGGAATAGGATGACGTTTGCTGCACAGTGGATAACGCGGCGAGCATCCAATCGGAGGATGTCTAGAATAGGAAACGGAGCTCCATTGTCCACGAGAACCATGACTATGGAACTGGCCAAGTACTTAAGGGAGTGGTTGGTTGGGAAATTGTTGCGAACGCCGGAATCCTCTCATGCTGGTCGATTTGGCTCAGCCAATTCGGCGCCTTCTATTTTGGGTGAACTGGAGCTGTTCACATCACTTTTTGCAGTTTGAATGTGCCGCCTCGCACGGGGCAGGCAGCCGAAGAACGATGGGGTACCTTGGGGATGTCAGCGATTTTGAGGTGATCGAAACTGTATTTTCCAAATTCCTTTGTAAATGTACTTTCCCTCGTACGTTGGCGCTGGTGCGCAATGCAATCACGCGACGCGCCTCCAACGCCGTCTGAATCCGTGGAGCCCCATGCGCTTCTCGACGACGATGACAGTGCAGAGGCACGGGCATGCACAGTCGTTCGTGATAGCAATTGCCTCCCCAGCCGCTATTGCAAGGGATGTCGCTGCAGCTCCGAGCTAAGACTCCCACCGCCATGTGCCGTCCAACAACGGAAACGGAGCCAGGGTCTTCATGCACGACATGCCGATGAAATCGGGCGCCGCTGGAACAGATAACAGAAGTCGAACTTGTTAGTTTGTCACGGAGTTCTACACCGCCAGTGTACTGCTTTCAGCAGTTTCACATGTGCTATTGCTCGCAATATTAAAAAAAGATAAATTGCAAAAAGTGGCTGCATTTTCCCAGTGATGACGCCTTCAAAACGTCGCCAAAGCATGCAGTGCTTCCGTAGACGCTGTGTGCACACAACCACGTGGTTGGGCTACAGCGAAGGTGCGGCAATGTTACCAAGATATTTCCTCCGTCAGGAATTAATTGTCCACTATGGTTTTGGTGCTCTACTTCACCATCATAGAAATTTCATTTCTTATTCGAATTTCTTGGAAGTTGCGCCTATGTTTTGAGAGTATGCAGTCAAAATTTCAAGTCAATCCGTTGAGTTCTGCGGATTTGGCCGCACTTTGTAGCAAGCGTCATCCAGCCAGAAACTCACCAGTTTTCCAACGTCCCTGCTGGAATGGCCATTTTCGCTGTTTCGAGGAGCACGTATTTGCGGCAGCGCTACAGAGCCGCCCGGGCAAAATAATCCACGCCATTTGGACAGAAGATCGTGGAGGTGCTTGCAAAGGAGAAGGCGAACAGAAAATGCATCTTGAAAGTCCTGATCGTGGAAGTCGCCATGTCTTGCAGCTGCAATTCAAGCTCGACTGGCCAAATTGGAGGCACCCATTGACTCCAGATTTCTGGACCACGACATTTGGACCTCCAACTCCACTACGAGGGATACTGCAGGAGGCCTCCCAAGTTCCTTGAAGACCCTTAGGAAGGTGGTGGCCATCACCCCATTCAGCGGCGGATAATTAGGAGGCAATTAGGCAGTGGCCCTCCTGGATGGGAGTGGTGAATCGACCATTTTTCGGCATTTTAGGTGTTGAGCTTGACAAGACTAGTTAGATGAACAAAACCATTTCTCTCAAGGAGAAACGCACTTGCTTGGCTATGATGGATTGTGGATTGCATGCAAGAGTTGGCAGATCGTCGTAGTTTGTTGGATGTGGGCCAGGTTGCCCACAAAAGCAAGATTCAAGCCTCAATTGAGGCAGACTGTCCAAGCAAGTCTACTACATAACCTTGGAACAATAGCTCGCACATAGCCAAAGTTTGAATGCCTTGGACCCTAGCATTGTCCGCATGCTTTATGTCCGCACGTTCAAAATCGACGATGGCCGAGATTTCAGAAATCGTCAAAATTGCGACTATGGCCTTCCACGATGGGGATCCAAACATGCTCGAGCATGTTTGGCAAGCGCTATTCCACGTAAGGGACACCGCCCTTCACCGCAAAGGTGGCAACGACTTGGCTTTGGCACACCTAGGATAGGAGTGACCCAGAAATGTGCGGATTTCTAGCATATGCGGAATCAACACGTGCATTGTTTGGACGAATTTCTGCCAATTGGGGGGGGCCTCCAGAGGGGGCGGGACTAACCTTTTTTCTTGAAAATTGGTAGCTAAGGGTTTGCGACCCAATCTTTCCGATTCTAATGTTCTTTTATAAATTTAAGGTGTCTTTTGTAACGAAATTTGTCTCTCAAACAGAGGACAATTATTTCCGGACGGAGGAAGTATGTGAGTTCACTGAGTACCGTTAGTTTTCGGCGTACCATTGCAATTTTCGGCGTACCAGCACGCATTGCGTGCACTCAGAAAAGGGGAGATAGTTCCCCCGCGACCTCGCCCAGTAGATGCAAGGTAAGCGACTAAGTCTTGTGTGTCACAACACATTTTTGTGGGAGAAAGTGGTGCAGGAGTCAGTGCTTTGGAGTACTTGGTTTTACATTGTCCGTCTTTTGGTGCCACCCTGACCAATCCCATTAATGCTGACTCGTGCAGGAGCCATGCAGGTGAATGTCGAGGCCATTCGTGTTAGCTTTCCGCTAAGGCAAATTTCATTTCCAATAATGCCCCAGCAGCCCACGAAGAGTGCACGAACGTGCTACCATGAAATCCTGATGGCGACAACGGAACCACAAATGTCCCATACCCTTCATATCTGGACACGAGAGCCATGAAGATCATGAACATCATTTTCGGGTTTTAAGTCTTCCAGTGGTCTTCACCTTGTTTTACGCATTTTCCGCTTTTTAGCTTTTCAAGTTCTTCGGTGCACTGTACCCTTCATGATCCCTTCATTACCTTCACATCCGGAAATGATAGGCATTGGACAAACCTCATGACGAAAAGAAAGCGGGCATAATTTACACAAGCACAACCCTGGCACAACCTACGGGGCACATAGCACCCAACCACAAGCATCAATTCTCCGGTTCGATCTCCTGGGCCTCGGCCCCAGCATTGCTGTCCTGTGGCTGTGCCTGGGCGGTTTCGTTGAAGATCAAGGGATCCTCCTCTAGCGACCACCCAGCGTTCTCGAGGATGGCAGCACCATCTTCGCCACGCACGCATGCCCTGAAAGCCCGCCGGGTGTCCAGCACCTGCTGCTGAAGCTGCATGTTCTCGCGCTGCACCACACACGCCGTGTCTTCAACATACAAGTGATCCCAGGGAATGAACCAAAACAAAAACAAAATCTTTCAAACATTCAACTTCGATCTGCGCTTGAACCGTGTGTCAGGTCATTAAGCTTGTCGAGCAATGGCGCGCTGTTGGCTGGCTAAGCTACTGGAGTAACAAAACTGATGCGTCCAGTGTTGAAATTTGGCCACGTACCACATTTTGACCACTTTTAGTTCACCAGTAATAATTGAATACACAAGATATGTAAAACCACACCTGAATGACGATAACGTTGCACGTCGATGTTGTGTATTTCATCGATATTGTGAGACCAAAATGTAACATGACTACATTGTCATGGAATGCTAAAGTAGCTCGAAATTGATATAAACACTGATACACAGGTCGAAAGGTTTTGATCGGACATTGTCACAGTGCCTTCAATTAATGAACATGCACAGTATCTATGCAAACTGTATGTACATTTCCACAGTGAAGGGGGACAAGCTTGCTTCTAGTGCTGAAATCCAAATGCTAGACTGCCACAGCAAGCCGCAGAGTCTGTGGAATTGGCTAACACAATGCTCATTCGACTGAAAGATCGATGGAACAGAGCCCAATGACCCCTACTGTACACAACAGCTTCTACACATAGATACAGTTTCTTTGCGGCTTCTTTGAGGCTGATGTAATGGATCCTTGTGCGAAAAAAGTGGTGTGCTGTTGCGCCACCACGCTGCACAGCGGTGTGCTGTCGCAGCTGTTGCTGCATCAAGGAGCCACAAGGGGCAGAAAACAGAAACCGATTGGAGTCTTTAGATCACAGTTTTCTTACACCTCTGCACTTCTAACTTCTGTGGCACATTACTACACAGGGTAAAATCCTGCCTTTCCACATTGAAGGCAACACTGCACAACAGAACGCAGTGAGGCATCAAGGCACAACAGCTCAAGCCAAAATGGTTTGCTGCTAGGAGCGGCTGTCACAATGAATGGAACGGCAACCAAGTTTGGCATTATCTGGGGAGGCACATATCTTGGTAGATGGGGTGCCATGCACATAATCACCCCTCTGTCAGTGCTCCACACCCTAGACATAGAAACATCCTCCCAAGCATACCACGGGTCAAAGTTTGCCCAATTGACACAGTTCTAACTGTGTTCAAATTGCGAAATAATCAGGCCTAGTTGTGTTTTCTCAATCTTACTAAATCAGGTTTAGTGCCATTTCCACAAGTGTGTTGGATAGCATCACAGCCTGCCATATTTCTGGCCAGCACTCCTTCCATGGAGTAATGTAAAGGAACAAGCCTTGCCATTTTAAAAGTACCCAGTATCATTACCAAAATAGGTAAAAGTGTTGGGAAGAATGAAGACAAAGATCTGGAATCATGCACCACGCAGCACTACATGCCCACAACATGCTTTGAGTGAAGTGAAGCAAACAAGCATCCAAGAATATCTGACATGAACAGTGATATTGGATGCCCAGATCAAGATGTGTAATACTCACCTCTAGTTTTTCATTTAGGACGCTCAGGTCGTATATTATCTGTGCCAGAAAGTGGGAATCCAATGCGTTAGGTTCGATGCAGGCAATTCATTAGGCAAATGTGCTGCTAGCGCTGTACACTGGCAGCAGGAATGATAGCAGTCCATAGAGCTCGTCCATTCATTACTGCATGCCTGACAAAGTCGATTGACATCGCAAATCGCTTTCATCAATCTATAAAGGTGCATGCAAGCTTCCAACACAGGGATGCAAGGCCCACACACAGCTCGAATACTTTATTTCTGACACAACCACAGCATGGTGTACAGCACACCAACCCTCTTCTCAGGAAGAATTGTGCGTGTGCTTGCGTGTGCACTTGCTGAAAACATGCAAAGTGCTTGAGTACTAAACACTGAGAAAAATCAGGCCTGGGAGGAATAACAAATGGATCAAAAGAATTGGGTGGTGAAATCCTTCGCGCTGCCAAATGTGATGCCAAAGGCTTTGGGCGCGACAGGGGAACACACCACCATCAGCATAAGTTGCCTTGCCCAGCGGTCATGGCAGTGGAGGGAAGTGACAAGGGACTGTCATGTATTCCTTCGACCGACATATCGCAGCTCTTGCACCCAACATGCAATGATAGTGTTCCACACAGGCACACATCCAAAACACCGCCTCCCCACTCGTTCACCCATCCCCCACCAAATGCCCACAAACACCAATCTAATAACCAAAGGGGGCGAGACCGTGTGGCCGACCCTGGTGAATCATCCACAATGCTGCATCGCAACGATTGTCTCTTCTCCACCCAGAAAACACTGGCACCCCTTCTTGGTTTGAGGTCCTTAACATCGTCTGGGTCGCTGCTATGGGCACCGAACTTTGACAATTGACACGTTATGCTGACACCTGATGTTCTCTCTTTTGCATCCACCTTGTTCATCACGGGGCTCCCGCTGAATCCCATTAAAGGTGGAGGGAAAGTTGTAATAGCTTCGTCATTCTGTCTTGTAACGAGCTTACCCCCCCATTCCCCCTACACCATCTTCTCACAACAAGGAAAGAGTGCCGCACACACATGCTTAGGAGGGTTTGGATGACCCGTTTCTCCCCCTCTTTGTAACAAATCTCTATGCCTCACCCCGCCCTCTCTCCCCCTATCTCATTTCTCGGGGCCCCCTCCTATAGCGCCTGAACTATTGGCGGAAAAGGAGGGTTTCCGCCTCGCCACTTTGCAGTACCATCTTTCCCCTCTATCCCCCCTCTCCCAAACAATGTTCATGAGAGATGTGTGGGTCTGGGGCCATTGTACATTGGTTGCCTTCGGTGGCTGAGAAAAAGTGGGACAAACACTCCAGATGCACCACGGATGGGGCATGGCTTGTAGTCATACAAAGTCGAAACCTCTGTATGAAAGGGATCCCAATTTAATGGAAAACTCTCTCTCTCCCCCCTCACATGTACTGTGTGGTGCTGCTCCAGGGAGTTGTCTTTTGGGATTGCGGGGGGGTAGGGTGAAACATGGGCGGCGATGGACGTGCCCATGATACATTCTGATGGGTCATGTATTTGCGGGTATAGCACAGACGGTGACATGCACATTTTTGTCGTAACACCATCGGTAGGAAATCTTCTTCTCTCCTTCTCTCCCATCTCCCAAAATGCAGGAGAGGAAAAACACGACACCACACACCTTTTCCTTGACCTTCTCCGCCGCGCCGGGCCCCCCTCTGAGCTCCGCCCTGCGCAGCCGATCACCGGCACCGCCGGGGCTGGCGCCCCAGTCCTGCGTGGTGGTCAGGAACAGCAGCAGGAGGATGAGGGCGACTATGAACGGCTTGCTTACGCCACGCTCGCCGACGCCCTGGCCGTTGAACATGGGTGGGGGCGGGGTGGGCAGGCGCAGGCGGCGGGGCCGGCCACCATGTTGCGTCGGGGGGGAGGGGACGCTGCGGTCGGAGGGCGCGGGTCGGTGGGCACTGCTGCCTCTACTTGGGGGCAGCGTTCATGTGCGGTTATGGCACACAGGGCTTTTTTTTCCTTTTTCGTCTTTTGTTGCTATTTCTTTTCATTTTCGTTCTTTCAGGGGGGGAAGCGTTCATTTATGACTGCTGTCGCTGCTCGCAAAAACCGAAGTTCAGTTGTGTGCCCCAGCACGCCTCCAAAGCAAGAGCTCCCATTGAAAATACGAATTTGCAATATTGCAAATTTCCATTCATTGTTCCGAATCGATTATTGTGCACAATTGATATAAACGTACACCTAACACCCCGATTTCATTGCCGAATTGATTTTATAAATGTGGAGAGCTACACCGTATCATGAGCATGTGATCCGCCCTTGGGCAATAAGCTGATCAATAAACAAAAGTGCACAGTCCATTGGCAATTGACAATGCAATATCCTAATGGGAGTTAGCTTTGATTTGTCCCTTAACCCTTTCCTAGCATCATCGCCATAATAAATTTATCATGTAAAGGCAAGGAAGTAGCCCTGGGTTTGTTATTTTGCAAGAGCAAAACTCTGTCTATGATATATTAATTGCGATAGAATAACCAAAACAAACAGAATCCAGAATCCATTATATTCTGATTTGCGAGGATAGTTTGTGTGCGATAAATCATTGAAGGGAAGCGCTTTCACCAGCTGGCGATCAGGGATATAAGCAAAAATTCTCTTGCACTGCTGTTACCTAAAAATACTCCATTATTCTTAATGCATGCCATCACAGGTGTTGCGGCCACGTCGGCGGCCATTGGTTCTTAGAGGCATTGAGATCTCTACTATGAAAATATAAGGATGTAGAGTGAATTATGACCATAATAACGTCAAATATAAATAAATAAATATATATATATATATATATATATATATATATATATATATTCGAAATAAACTATTTATATGGGTTGCTTGTTTCTTCTACATATTCCTAGCCTATATATTTGCCTAATTCCCTTTAGTAGTGACCATTGTACAATCAATAATAGTCCTTGTAGTTAGGGGCTGGACAAGGGGATTGACCTCGTTAGGAATAGCGAGCCAGGAGGTCTGAATGGGTATGGTGGACTAATATTGGGCGTGTGTCAATGTGGTGTATCTTTATGCCTGTACTTTGTAGGATTGGACCAATCATTGGAGAGTGAAAGGTGGTGGTCCGCACCCCCTAAGTGTAATTTGTTTGGCTCTTGCACTTGCACTCTTGTGCCATGAGGCCGGGCAGCTACACCGCATGGCTCGGCTGGGGTGTCCCAATTGTGTGAACACACCCCCACATGGCAAGCCTGTCGGACGTAGATCTGGGGCCCACCACGCGTGACAAGGCAATGAGCACCCCGACATCCAGGGACTAGTACAGACTCCGAGGACTGGTGACCCGCACCGGGTGCAGCGAGCAGCTTAAGGCAAAGAGACCAAGAAAGGGGCGGTGGCTGGTGATCTGCTCCTACATCAGTCGCCCTACCCCGCAGCACGGCCATTGGAGGTCAGCAAGATTCCCCACCTTGGACGGTGGGCGTATCCGGGGCAGTCGATTCTTTGTTCGCGCGGTGGGCCCAATGCTCAATAAGGATTGATCCCCAATGCCTGCCCTATGCAAGAGGTGGTGGTGCGGCAAGGCGGTGGTTTGCTGGCTTGCGGGAGGCTAGGGAGTGGGCCACAATCGAGCTATGTATTTCACTCCATGCGGGCACATATCCCCATGCGCGATGCCCGATCGCGGGTCCATCGCCATCACAACAAAACAAAACAACTCACGTGCACATCCAAGCATTCATCGCCATTCTATTTCACCCATAATTGACTGGCCTTTCCCTTGACACCTTGATTACTGACCCAGTCTAAGGCCCTTAAATATTGTAACTTAGCAGGGCCATAACTTCCTCGATTCTTAACCGATTGGGACATTTCAAAAGCTGAAACACATTAAAAGAAGCCAAATAACATGCAAAGATTGGATTTATAAATATTACTAATTACTACTGAAAAATGCTAATAATGCCTAACCTCAAGTGACCACATCGCGATAGACACGGTAGTGAAATAAACATGTATCTCATCTTCTAGAATTGAGTAACTTAATCGATACAATGAATTTAAAAATATAGAATAGATGGATGTGGTTGGTATCATTGTTGCTCGAGCTCCAGAAAGCAAACTTAACTACAGAATCGCAGAAAGAAATCCTTAGTAAAATTGGTGATGATGATATGAATCGTTCATAGCAATGCACTGACTTGATGAGTCCATACCATTACTGAGCCCTCAAGGATTGGCTGATTAGACATTAGAACTATGAACATATTTGTGTATCCACCGAAAAGATTACACGTCAATTGTTTTAGCCTACATCGATCTAAAATAAGGCCATTTAAGTGAATGAAAGAAATTATTGGTGCATCCCATGATTGAGGCTAGGTCACCTCTCATATTCACTGAATACACTGGTGGTGACGCCCTAGATAGCTTACGGCTACCGCCATTGACCCATAAATAAATAAATAAATAAATATATGTATATATATATATATATACACATATGTATTTGTACGTATCGATGTGTCGATACGCATCCACGGTCAGTGAAACTTCCATCAACTTCAACTGAGTAAAAAATACTTCTTATCAAATTAATTTTATCACATAAAAAGAGTGTTTTTGTGTTATTCGAACCAGGGGAACTGGGTGAGTGATGTGCGGTTACAACGGGCCCCTTGCAAGTGACAAACCCCTGAATGCCATGATCCATGCCCTATGCACAAGCAAAATGCCCTTCACCACCTCTCGTCTAGCATCACATAGATGCATGGGCAATGATAGCGACAGCACATATCGCACATGTGAAAACGAACAATCCACGCACATTCAAGCACCCCATCTCAAGTAGCCGTCATTCATCAAGAACGATCAAAAAGAAAATATGCGCATGGTTGGCACTCTTTTACCAGAAGCAATCAGCATTGTCGAGGCAACCATCCTTGCAACTAATCTCCTCGCATATCTGCCCAAGTCTATCGGCATCTTCAGGTGACAAAAACTAGCCGGGAAAGCATTGCATAGGTTGAAGTAGTTCATCGGCATTAATGGGCGGACCACTACTGGTGTGATGCCCAAGCGGAATGTAAAGACTGTATGGTACCAGGGTGTCATCCAGGCACGCTAAGCCAGGTGCGGATGGAGCGCCGAAATCGGAATGGTAAACTAAAATATGATATATGAAATTTAGAAGCTCTGTAGGCGGACACAGACAACAAATTATAGTGTGGCCAGAGGAAACGTGTTTTTAAGGAGCGGAACAATCAGAGAAGTGAATATCACAGGCAGACAAGGAATGGCACGTAAAATGGAGCATATAAAATATAGTATAAATAGTTGAATGTCAACGAATTGCACTCATTCTTTTCTGTAGGTTTAGGAGGGAGCTTAGTAGGGAGCCACAAGGAAAAATACAACGAACTTTTATTTACCTCACGGATTTTCACAGATATGGATTGCCTTGATGCACTGCAGGATCTCAGGTAAAACAAATTTATGGTCTACACTCGCAACCAAAATGCTGCAGCACTGAAACCTGTTCCAAAGCAAGCAATGGCATTGTCAAACAATAGTTTATTTGAATTTCTGTCGCTTTGTTAGTAGTTAAGCCAGTCCCATACAAGACTCAACCCTTGAGTCAGCCCTAAACTCCTCGTTCCGATGTACTTAACTCCCACACTTGCCAAGTGCAACCGAACATCACCCTAATAAGGAGGCCCGGGCGGGAAGCGAGATAAGATAAGGTGGGGACCGAGGGGTGAGCTTAAGTAGCCTCCCCTCTCGCACCTGCCAAAGCCCGCTGCTCCCAAGGGCGCCAAAAACCACTGGCCCTCCTTGAACATGACGAACTGGCCACTGACCCAAGGTACAGGGGGACAAAAACCCTAGGGGGCTGCCAAAACCATCGTACTTAAGCAGCGCTGGTCCAACTACAGCCAGCGTGCCCGCCCCTCGTTGCTCTGGGCGGAAACCTATTAACAAGATAGTTAATCCCATTTCCGCTGGACCGGGCTCCTTGTCCCACCCAAGTCCACACACACACCAGACCAATACATTACAAAGACCGTTGTTTGTCCCAATACAATCCGAGGTACCCATAACTTGTGTGCCTAGTCATGCTCAAAAACACTAAGCTCCTCCGGAGCAAAAGATGTGGCCATACCTCTCATGTAAATCCCAAGCAGTGAACGTTATCCACCCAAAGAGGGACTAATCCCATTCCGATAGGATTTGATACACGTCAATGTACCGCCACATGGCAGCGCTGCGCCAGTCGCCCCAGTGGCGGATGCACTGCTCGGGCACCTCCAAAGTGAAACAAGTTGGCGCCCCACCTGCGCATAGACTATGGTGATCAAAGGCGCCGGGGTACAGATCAGGCGAGGAAGCCAGGAAGTCCCAAAACCATGAGGAAACCATGCGTGCGGACAGGTTGCGTTCACCCGGGAGGGTGAAGAAATGCGACGGCGCCTTGCCAGTGTCCACACAAGCACGATCCCGAAATGCGCCTTAGCAAAGGAGGAGATCAATGACTTCAGGGGTGCCCCGGGACGGCCAGGAGCCGAGGCGGATGGCAGGGTCTGTGCCGCTCTTGAGCTTGGTGCGGCGCACCAAAAAACAATAATCCCGTCCGCCACTCGCATGTCGTCCAGCAGAATAAAATGGCCGCTCAGGGCCTGATTGAAGAAGACGAAGTCCAGGAGCGCGGAAACAGTCACTCACAACAGAAATAGGTCCACCATCTACAGGCCGAGCGCCAGAATCCATAGCATCAAAGTCGCCAGCACCAGAGCACAGGAGGAAGCCAGCTCTGGGCATTGGCGATGCCATGACCGGGTGAGCAAG